TTGTTGCATATTGTAACGAACCAACTACTTGTCTGTAGAGCTTGGGATTAGAGAATGGTTCTCCATGAAGCATGAGGCGAGATGTAGCATCAGCAGGAGTAGAGATGGGGGTGGCAGAGCTCATATGGGTGCGATCAAGGATGTCTCTGATGTAATTTTCTTGACTGAGAGTGAGAGTAGATGGTGAACGTGTGATGCGGATGCCCAGAAAATAGTTTAGTGATCCCAAATCCTTGAGTGCAAACACGTGGTCTAATTGTTGAATAAACCTGCAGATGTGGGACTCATTTGTGCCTGTAATGATGAGATCATCCACATATACCAGAACATAAATAAGCTCTGAATTTGACCTATAAACAAACAGAGATGTATCAGAGTGACATGGCCGAAAGCCTTGTGTGACGAGATATGATTTGAGCTTTGTAAACCAAGCTCTTGGAGCTTGTTTTAGGCCATAGATGGCTTTGTGGAGCCGATAGACATGTGTTGGATAGGTAGTATCTTCAAAACCACAAGGTTGTCTCATGTAGACATGTTCGTGTAGATCACCATTTAGAAAGGTGTTATTGATGTCCAGTTGACGAATGCACCAGCCATTTGAGATTGCAAGCGAGAGGACCAGGCGGATGGTCATAGGTTTGATGACTGGACTAAATGTGTCAAAATAGTCCACACCTTCCTCCTGACTGAACCCTTGTGCGACTAGGCGCACTTTGTAGCGATGAATAGTGCCATCCGGATGTCTTTTGATCCTGTAAAGCCACTTACAACCCACAAGATTAATATTAGGAGGACAGGGGACAAGGGACCACGTCTTATTGTTCATAAGGGCATCGTATTCATCTTGCATAGCATCTTGCCAACACTTATGTTTAATGGCTTGAGTGAAATGACGAGGTTCATTGACTAACATAGAGGAGAGTGCTTTGGGTTTTAAGGAGTTAGTCTGAGCACGAGTAACCATGGAGTGATGGCTGCTATCAGCCCTACGAAAGTGAGAGGGGATGACGGGAGATTGAAGGGCTCGAGAGCTGATAGTAGAGTTGCGATAATGGGGGCTAGAAGGCAGAGGGGAAGTTGGTGGAGTAGGAACAGTGGAAGTTTCAGGAAGAGGGGAAGAGGGGGACTCAGGTTTAGGAAGGGGCGAGACAGTGGGGATTGTAGCAGCTTGGGCCAAGAGAGTTGGGTTGGTGTCCACCTGATCAGAGTGGGCAGTAGGCACAGTTGTAGACACCAGAGGAAGCGATTTAGAGAAAGGAAAGACATCTTCATTAAAGATAACATGACGGGCTATGTAAATCCGTTTGGAAGGCGTATGGTAGCATAGATAACCTTTATGTGTAGGACTATAGCCGATGAAAACACACGGAAGAGAGCGAAAGTCAACTTTGTGGTGATTATATGGTCGTAGGAACGGGTAGCAAAGACAACCAAATGTCTTAAGAAAGGCATAATCGGGAATTTTGGAATACAGTTTTTGATAGGGGACAGAAATTTCAGAACATGGGTAATGGTCCTGTTGTGAAGATATGTTGCAGTCTTGAATGCATGTTCCCAGAATTCATTTGGAAGGGATGATTAAGCAAGGAGGGTGAGGCCTTTCTCAATGATGATGCGGTTGCGGCGTTCAACCGCACCATTTTGTTCATGTGTGTGTGGACAAGATATGCGATGGGTGATACCATGATGGTGTAGAAATGTCGAGACATTACGATATTCCCCACCCCAGTCAGTTTGAAGGCTTTTAATAGTACAATTGAATTGAGTGTGAATCATATTGTGAAATTGAACAAAGGTACTAAAAACCTGAGATTTGTGAGATAGAAAGTATATCCAAACATATTTAGTGCAATCATCCACAAACAACACAAAATATTTATTTCCATTCATCGAAAAAGAGGGTGCAGGACCCCACACATCTAAATAAATCAAGTCAAAAGGCTTTGAAGATGGAACATGAGTGTGAGTAAAAGGTAGGCGGTGACTTTTGCCTAATCGGCATGATTCACAGACAGTGGGAAAGATGTTTGAAGAAGTAGGAAGCTTGAAGTGCGAGAGGAGACGCCGAAGGAGAGGAGCGTGTGGATGAGCGAGCCTTTTGTGCCAGCTATGTAGAGTAGTTCTGACCCCAGTGAGAGCCATGGTGCACGCAGCTTTATTGGAGAGTGAAGGAATACGATATAGTCCCTGATTAATGTCCCCGTTGAGTAGAATTTTTCCCTGCAAAGACTTGACATTACAGTGAGTGGGCCAAAATTCCATATACACATTATTATCATTGGTGAGTTTGGAGACACTGAGAAGATTTTTGGTTATTTGAGGAACAACAAGAACAGAAGGCAATTTTAGTGAATGCAAAGATGAAGAGCCAATATGAGTAATAGGAAGATGGTTACCATTGCCGACTTGTAGTTTGTCCGAACCATTGTATTCATCAGTGAGATGTAATTTCTGAAGGTCCGGTGTGACATGGTCTGTAGCTCTGGTATCAAAGTACCACGAGGGATCCACAGTAGACGGACTGTGAAGGTGGGCTAAATTAGCCTGAGGTTGAGATGTTCTTGGATTGGGCTTTCTGGACGGAAAGTTCGTTTGATTGTTGCGCTGCCAGTAGTCGATGGCCTCATGACCGGTCTTTTGGCATATTTGACATTGGGGACGAGGCCGGCGACGATTCTCATTAGAGCGAGATCCTGATGAAGACCCAGGATTGGGGTTGGGTCGTGGTGAGGAACGATTGAGATGAAGAGCCAGGGTGGTGTTCGTAGTGGGAGGCGGAGTTGGGTTTTGAGCAACTTGACGGAGGAGTTCTTGCTCCAAGCGATATTCTTCCTGTAGTAACAGTCCTACAAGATCATCGACTGAGTCTTGTTCATCACGAATCATGTAGGCAGTGGTGAATGAGCCATATGAGGCATCAAGACCATGAAGAATATGGCCAATTAGGTCTTCATTGGAGACCGGATACGAGTTCTCAGCAAGGGAGTCAACAATTGCCCTTTTCTTCTCCACATATTCGAGCATGGTCATGGACCCTTTGACAATCGTCTGGAGATCAGTCTTCATTGACATACGTCTAGCCCTAGTTTGGGCCTGAAATGTTTTGTCAATAGCAGACCAGGCCTGCTGAGAAGAAGAGGCCCGAGCTACAATTGGAAGAGATGTTTCAGAGAGTGTTGATTGTAACCACAGAAGGACAAAGCGATCACGCTTTTTCCACAATTGAAATTCTGGGTTTGAACTGGTAGTGACAACACCTTTATCATATGTGTTTGAGATGACTTCTGCTGGTGGATTGGGGGAAAGCACAAAGTCATCTAGGTCAAAAGTTGCTAGGGCTGAGATTATGGTCGATCGCCACAGAGGATAGTTATGTCGATCAAGCTGGATACTTAGTGGGGGAATTTGGAGATTGAGGGGTGTATTGCTGGTAGCAAGGCCAAGAAGGAGTGAACTATTGTTGGCCATTGAGTCGATGGATAATGAGTACTCAATTTGTGCTCTGATACCATATAATAAATAAAGCTAATAACTGAATGTTTTATCACTTCTTTTTATGTGTCTCTCACCAGTGAATGTACAAGATATTTATATACATAAGATACAACGATACTCCTAAATACAAGGATCCACTATTTTTCTATTTGACTAGACTTGGTCTATTGACACATGCTGAATATACATTTGATTTTAGAGGACCGTTATTATACCTATTGTTCACAATTCCAAGTTTCCACCAAACCTTAACTTATTTCGACAACAATTTTAATTCCAATCCCAACACCATCTCCAATACCCCAACCGAAACCCAATCCCAACCACCACCTCTAACACCCCAATCGTAACCCAATCCGATTTCGAACCCAAACTCGGAGCTCAACAAAAATGAAAGGGAGGGCCGAAATCAAAATATGTACTCAAGAAGAAGAAAAATAATTAGGTAAGGCTTGGGCGGACATATCGGAAGATAGAGCCAGGGAACAACCAATCACAGTAGTTTTGTCGTGATATGAAATGTAGTGGCACTCAAAACCAATGTAACACAAAATGGGCCAATATTAACAAGCATGTTACGCATTGAAACAAAATTTACTCAAGGTTTCATAATCAATGGGCCAGCGGTGAAAGCAGATCCACTTTATTGAAAAAAAAACTCATTTGACATTCCAATACGACAAGTTAAGGCCTTTTAAATTCTTACATGCTTGAGATGTTGTAAAAAAAAAGTAACAACCGGAGGTCCATTATATTATAGCAATGGAAAAAATGTCGTCTTCAAAAAGAAGCAAAACCTCTTAGCATTCGACCTCATGAAAAATATCATTCGACCTCATGAAAAATGTCATCAGGTGTTAATGTCAATCTTACTGATGACAACAATGGCATTGAAGAATTAAAAATGCCTCAAAGCAAAAAAGAAAAGTAAAAACGATATATTCACATTCGTCTATGGGTCTATGGGTACCCGGTGGTCAAACCAATCCGATGAAATGGTGTCGCAAATTGCACAATTAAGTTATACTCTGGACAAGCATGTGATCAAAACTTCAGACTCACGGAAATGACATTGTAATGCAAGTCGTGAGTAACCTTAAAGCTGAAGATCGAGTAGCGGCTTTGGCGGCCAAAGCGGCAATTAGGGCTAAATATAATTTGTATGTTTTTAATCTACAAATTTATAACTTTTTCTAGTTATTTTCTATTTTTAGTTTTTACTTATGTAATTTTCAATCTTATGGTTAATGAAAACTTAAGTTTTATTTTAATTAATATTATGTTTTTTTATTATAAGTAAAATAAATGTAATATTATTATTATTTTTTTAATTTTAAAAAAAAAATAGTTTGCGTAACATGGATGACAGATCACACTTTGCTCATAGCCAAAAAAGGCAAGAATGTCAAAATCATAAGAAGCAAAGTAAACAATCCACAAAACTCTATAACATACACTTTTATGTAGATGTAGATTTCACGTTAAAAACCCAGATTTGAAATCCATCAGAGTCTCGATCTCTGGATGCATTGTATAGGATTAGAGGGTGAATGTCTCATGCCTAAAGATATTGGTTCCCTTAAATGGTGTAGCAGTTCTGAGGAGGTTGAACCATTGGAGGGCCCACCACCATGTTCGGTTTTTTGCGAGTAAATAGATACAGCTTTTGTTAGGAGCTCGGTTACAGCATCCTTGTACTCTTCCGGATGATGTCGATAGTGACCTGCAAGAGCATGATATATTTTTGAGTGATGTAGGTTGAATCTCAGTGGATTAAAAAGTAAAAACTTGTGCAAATACAACCAAACAAATAATTATGTTGAGAAAACTACAAGTATTACCTACATGAGCGGAGCTACTCCACTTTAGTAATTTGACATCGCCACCAAGGCTTTGTAATTGTTGAGCAAAGTTGGAGATGGTTTGGTAAGGAGCAATATCGTCGTTTTCTGAGCAAAGTATTAGATATGGTGCTCCAATTCCCTACATTTTATTTTGGAAATAAGAAATGGAAAAAGGGGTTGATTGGTAAGAAATAGGAACTTACTATAGTTGAATACAAAGTCTGCCAATATTCTGTGCGTTGGGATTCCCATCTCTCAGGGCATAAAGCATCTAGGCCAGATAAGATACCATTTGCAATCCATGTTAATATTATAGGAGGATGTGAGACTTTAAGAACGCTTGGGTGAAGAACAAATCGGGTGGCCAAATCTTTTACGAAATCGATAGGACATGAGTCATATATATGTCCGGAAATACACTTTCTAATGAGTTGATACTCCTCCTTCACCATAAAAAATCAAACATTTTTTTCATATTAACAACGGATGACAAATTAAAAAGCGGTGAAAATAAAAAATTGTGTTTTTTTTATGTTGCCTTTCAAAAACTCATGGCTTGATCAATCATATTAAAAACGTGAGACAAAGGAAATAATAAGAATAAAGACCATACCAGATTTCCGTGAGTATCACACTTTGAGTCGATTATCTGTACCAAGAAGATGTCAAGTAAATCATCACCAAGAAGCCTTCCTTTGTGAAAGGGTTAAAAACCATAAAGATAAATGTTATACAATTCACTCTGATTAAATGTTGTATAATAACTTTAATGAACGTATCCCAAATATATCGACCTCTATTATGGAATCATTGACTAGTAAAAACTTTGGCTAGAAATTAATATTGTGCATCGATCATGGAAGGGATACTGACACATTAACCCCACAAACTATTTCGAATTTGCTCATTCAGTCCTAAAACTTTTTTTGGTGCTTTATGGGAGCATAAAGTAGATGTCCACCTGCTTTTTGGTCCCTGCTACTTGATCCGAGATCGAGATTAGATTAGAGATCGAGATTAGAGATGCTTGTCATTGCTCATTTTTCAAATGATCCGAGATCGAGATTAGAGATGCTTGTCATTGCTCAGAGACCGATGCAAATCGCAATGAAATGTCTCGAGAAACAGTTTTATCTAATCTTATTAGATAATCGTGAGTACTTGGAGCTTAGATCTGTTTCTAGTCTCACATCCAACCTTACTGTTCTTCTCACGTCAACAGGTCGGAGACAATTTTCATGATGATGGAGTTGTAAAATTTGATTCAATTCTCTGGCTAGAACTCGATTTCAATTATATGGCCAGAAATCACAGTTTGGGTTGGTGAAGGAGATGAATTGGAAGAAGGTGAAATGGATAAATCTTAATTTTGACTTTTAAGTTTGACTATTTGGTTGAAACCTACTATATCATATAGGTAGCAGGTACCGAAAAACAGGTGAACATCTAATTTATGCCCCCATAAACCACCAAAAAAAATTGAGACTGAATGGACAAATTCGAAATAGTTTGTGAGGCTAATGTTTAATTTCCCATCATGGAATACACAAAAAGATTTTGCCATGACAATTTTGAATAAAATATTGCCAAGCTCGTTAACCATGCATCCAGTGGCGGATTAATAATGAAATCTAATCGGGGTCCATTATTCATAAAAAATATATAATAGTATAAAATTATAAAAATTTAAAGGTATTTTTGGATATTATTAGTAAAAAATGTCTACAAGGGCTATTTAATGTAAAAGTGGATGTCAAAGGGGAGATTTTTTACGTAAAAATATAAATATTTTAAGAGATTTTTAATAATAAATATGATGAGACCCACTTTCAATTGTGGTCAGTGCACCCCACTAAAAAGGGCATCATTGTTTCTCATACACTTGGTAAAATGGAAGAAAAAAAAACCATTAGGACTTAACGGGAAAACCACATTTATTCGATGACATTTTCTATAAAATAAAAACCTGATTAAGTCATTTCCCTATTAAATCCATTAAATATAAAAATGCACCTTACTATCGTAACTAATTCTTTGTAAATAAAAATGATATACACAAATACACGGAATATTTACCTGCAAAACTTTGTACATACAAGTTAGGGGGCCACCAGAGAAAGACGCAAAGACAACCGGGCATGGCCTTTCTTTTAGCTCCTTCATATACAAAACAATAAAATTTTGTATAAAGCCTATAAATTTATTTTATCATACAAAAAGAAATCATAGCTAATCAAGAAAAGGAAATACAAGCAATGAACTCGAACGAATATTTCCGAATATTGTGATATTGTCTACAAACTCAAGGAGGATATAATTGGACATAGAACATAGGCACAACAAGTGGTCAGAAGTTATGAAACTTACCTTAATAAGCTCATTTAGAAGGTCCAATGCCAAAGGAATAGCCTTATCAGGGAAGAACCTGTGATACAATCAATTGCAACATCTTTTAGAATCACTCAAAAACCAAAAGTCAAACCTTTAGATGGAAGCAATTCCTTTCAATAAAAAATAGCTCCATGACTTAATATAATAAATTTGCGACTTGAAATATCTGTATAGATTTCAAATTTTAATCATATTTTCTCCAGAAAAGACTTCCAATTCACGTCAACAAATGGAAATCAAATCGGTTGATGTCAAAAGTCAAAGTGTAAATATGTAACAATTGGAGTAGTTATTAAGAGCATCTCTTTTGGTAAAATTATGATACGACTGAAGATTATTCTTTCCACTAAACTAAAACTCGAAATCGGGAATAACACCAGATGAGATGATATGAAGAAAGAAGAATAGAGTTTATAAAAGAACCTAGTGAATGAGGGTTGGAGAATGGATAACACGTACATATTAAGAAATTGGGAGTGGCATACAAGGGAATCCCAACCAAGAGAGGAGTAAAGATGAACATGTTTCTTCAAATTCTTCTCTTCACTTGACATCCATGCGAATACAACCACTATTCCTCTTCTTCTTTCTTCTTCTCTTCCTCTTCGCTTCCCCCAGTAGAATCTTCCCCCAAATCCCCGCATTCTCCCTCTTGATCCCTCTTCAGAAAATAAGTTTACAGATAAAATTGCACAATCATACTACCAAAGGAACGAGAGAGAGAGAGAGAGAGAGAGAGAGAGATGATTGTTAATATTTAGGTAACTCCTCCTGTATATCTCCACCACGGAAATAGTGTAGGTTTCTACTGGATGATGATGATGATTCCTGATGATGAGTTGTATATATAAAGAAGGAAAATGTTGAGGTTGATGCGACGATTTCTATAGGATGACGATGAGTTCTAGATATAAAATATATAAATAACGTCACGAGTTCTAGATATAGAAAAAGGGTAATTTCTTTGGCACTACACCACAACATCTTTTGACTCTTTGTACATCATATGATCATAATCAACGCTCCACTTAGTTATTATTAGATATAATGTAATATAAATATTATTAGTTTTCATTTACAGTCTGCTAGTTTTGTTGAAGCTTCAAATCCATCTTACATTTGAATTATTTTTAGAGTAAATTACACGAATGGTCCCTCGTATAGGTGTCAAAATACACGTTTAGTCCCTATTTTCAAAAATTAACTCGGATCGTCCCTATATCATTATTTTTTTCACTTGGATCGTCTCTACATACATAAAATGAACAATTTGCCCTTAAGTGATTTCTTTTTCAATTTTATTTTATTTATTTATCATTTTCAGGTTTAAAAAAAACAAAACAAATATCCACCCCACCCCCTTCCCCAACTTCATCTCTCTCATTCTCACCATGTCCTCTTACTCTCCATTTCCGACGAACACGAAACAACACCACCACCAGTCAAACCCTAAACCCATTGAAATCGACTTTCATCCCAAGCACCACTACCGACATCCCTTTCACCTCCCCCGACCACCACAAGGAATGAGATGGAAGTGCACAGGTGACGATAACGCCCTTACAACAACCACCCCCATCATCAAAACCAAAATTTTTCACCATTAAACGAAACCCAGATGATCCAATTTGATGTAAAACCAAATCTTTTTAACCCACAATTTCCATTTGAGCACTTGATTCAAGTCCAACTCCAAACCCACTTCAGTTGATCAAAGCAACAGATTTGATCAAAGCAACGGCTTTTCACATCACCGATTTACCTTTTTCTAATCACCTGATTCACGCCCTTCAATCGTATCTGAAACCCTATGCTGTACTTCTTTATCATTCACCACCACCAAAATCGTATCCCTAAATCATTCACCACCACCAATCCTGTCGGTTTGTTATCTCACAGAAGGGGAATTTTCTGAAATCGAGACCGAACCATTTGAAATCGAAGAAGAAGGGGTGTATGGTTCTTTCTTTTCTAACCCATTTGAGATTTCAAAAATGAAAATCCATTAAGGGGGAAACTTGACTGGAAAGACGGTGGTGGTATAATGGATGTCGAAAGAGAAGAAGATCATGTTGGTTGCAGCAAAGAAGGTCTCGTCGAAGCTTGCAGATCGGAGATGAGACACAATGAGAGAGGAGAGCAGGTGTTGAAGAAGAATGGCGAGTGAGAGAGAGTTATCGGAGGTAGTGTAATGTAACTGAGAGAGGTAGAGAGAAAGAGAAGAAATGTTTTAAACGCGCAACACTCAAAAAAGAGAGGGAGCTTGCAGTGATGGTGAGCAGGGCAGCAGGCGACGACGATGGTGGTGTGCGGTGGCGACAACGATGGTTTTTTCTGTGTGTGTTTGTAGCTCCAACGACGGTGGCATGTAAGTGTTGACGACGATGGTATTCTCTCACCGGAGATGGAGAAGAACTGAGAGTGACATTACCTCAATACTTGTGAGGAAGAGGGGTGGTGATTTAGGTTCTTAAAAGAAAAAATATGAAGAGGGAAAATTGTGATTTACAGGAGATACGAAGAAGAAGAAGTGGGTATATGAGGTGGGCCCAATTATTTAATGATTTTTTTAAATATAATTTATAATAATAACAATCTAAAAATAAATCAAAAATAAATAGAAAAGGACAAGATAGAAATATATGGACGAAACGTGCAAATTTTAACGATACGAGGGACGATCCAAGTTAATTTTTGAAAATAGAGACTAAAGATGATTTTTAGCACTTGCACAAGGGACGCGTAATTTACTCTTATTTTTATTTTATACCCATATACATTTACTTTTTGTTTTAACCAAAGTTACTAAAAATAATAAGAAATATATGTATAACGTCTATAAAACCACAACGCTAGTTATCTTCTGAACGATTTGAATTAATTTTTATTGATTCATTAACTGTATTTGACACTAAATAACAAATAATATGAAATTAGGTTTTCCGGTTCGTTGTGGTCAATTATGGATTTAAGAAGTAATAGAAAGTAGCTTGCTATATGTTGAAAATAGCCGAAATGGTAGTTTTTATTTCTAGAAGTAACTAAAAATAAGCATAAAACGTAAAAGAAAATAAAATTACGTCGAAATATAGACAAACTCGAATTTATTATGACAATTAATTTTTTTTAATTAATGAACAAAATTTTCAAATTTACGTAAAACATTACTACCTTGAATTTATACCGAAACATATATAAAAATAAACATGTAAAAATTAGTTTTTTTTAAGTTAGAAATGAAAGTTATTAAGAAATTAATAGTATGTATACTAAGGAGGATAAAATGAAAAAATTTAGAAAATGAAGGGCCAAAGTTATATTTTACAAGTTTAAAGTCAAAATGGATTAAAGGACAATTTTAAAAGTAGAATGTTTAAAATATTATTGGACTACAAGCTCTTTGGTTATTTTGTTAGTTGACATTAATGTAAAACTTTTATTTCATTTTAATTGAATTTGAATTTGTTATCCATATATATTTATATGTTTTTATAATATATTATCATCTCTGGTATTTAATATTTTATATAAATTATATATAATTAAGATTGATATATTTTTTTATTTATAATTAAGTATAAATTCTAAATTTTAATGTAAATTCTCAGAACCTAGATTTATTTATATGATTAGAAATTTGATATTCCTCGGCATCGCTTCCAACATATTAAGTTTTTCGATCTCATAATTTATACTTATTTGTATCGTAATAAATTAGATTTTATATAAGTCATTTCTACAAAATATGTAAATTAAGTTTTCAAAACAAGGATAAAGTAGTGTTGATGTGTTTGTGAATGCTAATTTGAAAACAAATTGTTATGTGTTTGTTAATACATCGGTTTTGTTTATGTATCAAACGCTATCTAAAGGTTTTATGTCTGCTAATTTGGATGAAATTGTATAACAAATAGTTACGTGTTTGTTAATATAGATACAGAATGTCCCGTATATACTAACTTGGTTGAAATTGTTTCAAACGAAGAACTTTTTTAGTATCGAGATTAACAAACATAAAACAATTTATGATACGATTACATCTTATTTAGTAGATAAAGAACATTCGGTCTCTAAAACAACATTATCTAAAATAACATTAACAGAAAAATATGAGAATATTTTTTTTATGAGATTAACCCTTATCAACAACATCTATTTAACAAATTTACTTCGAAATAAAATGAAAATATTTGTTTGTCCTATTGTGATACTTTTTAAAGTAAGATAACGATTTTACTATTTTCTTTATAAACCTAAAAAACAAAGTGAAAACTATATTTATTATTGAAAATTTTCATTGTGTTCACAACTTTTTTTGCAATCTAAAATTTGTTTAGTTAAGATAAAATTTATATGTATGTGGAATAAAAGTAAAATGTAGTAGTTATATAAGATAATAATAATAATAATAATAATAATAATAATAATAATAATAATAATAATTTGATAAATAGTTAAATCTTCTCTAATAAATGAAGGCTTTTTTGTCATTTGTTACATTCTGTGGTTATTTAAATTCATTTTTTTTTCACATGTCATTTTATTTTAATTTAATAATTACAATAAATATAGTAATAAATAAATATTAATTTCACTAATAAACTCACTTTTTAATTTCAAAATTTCTAAAATTAAAACTCATTAGTTTCTTTTTTTATTTAAATTATTTGTTTAAATTTAAAAGATTAAAAACATTTTCATTATAATAAATCATTATTTTTTTATTTTCTTATAAATTCAAAATTTTCAAATATTTTGACATTTATATTTATTTTTTTTAAATTAACTCATATAATACATGAGTTTCACAACTAGTAAGAAATATAAATTAGATTAAAAAGTTAAGTATTCTTTTATTTTTTTAATTTTTTTATAACAACACAAATTATATTAAAAAAATATCAACGGAAAAATGGACCAAAACAAAGTATATAAAACAGAATAATGCAAGAAATAGAGATTGAGAACGAAACTATGAAACTAATTCAAAGCATCCACTACGGGCAAATTGGTCAACACATGGACCAAAGACCAGCAACAAAGACTCCACCGATGAATAAAAGTCTTCATGCTTTACAAAGACCAAGTCAATCACACGAATTTGCAGTGTCAATAGGAGTACGCAACTATTATTCTACACTCCTTGGACTTATATAGAACTTTCAGTTATTACTTTCATTCATCAAAAGTTTAATTTAAACCTTTGTTATATTAATATAGGGAAAATGACTTAAAAAGGTAATTAAGTTTAAAAATGTATAAAAAAGACCATTGTTTTTTTTTAGTACACAAAATACCATTAAAGTATCCTTTTTATACACAAAATACCAACGAAGTACACATGTGTTCAAATAAAACCTTGTGGGTAACCGATTACTGCAGGTAACGGAAAAATGTCTTAAAAATGTAACAAAGTTTCAAAAATGTTCAAAAAATACCATTATATTTTTAGTATAAAAAATACCATTGAAATTTCCAAAATGTTCAAAAAAAAACATTGTTGTTTTTCAGAGCACCTTTTGTTAACTTCGTTGTTTCCGGATTATATAGAACACAGTCATCGGAGATTAGTCATCATCGTATCAGTTCAACACCAGTTGTGTACTCTCTTTCATTCCATCACTCGATCAGTTTGTATCTAAACTCATATTTAGGAATTCTCATGACATAACGTCACACTCGTTTCTCCTTTGTGTCTCTCTTGTGTCGCAACACTAATGAACGGCTAACCTTGATGTATAATATGTGCATCTATATAACATATATATGTTTTAGGTTTGAGGCATATAATGTGATCGGGAAAC